TTCCCACCGAAGTGGTACCTATTCATCTACTTGCAAATTCTTGCTTTCAAATTGCTAGGTTGGCAGGAGATGTTTGAGAAAAGCAAAGTGCAAATCTTTTGAATTCACAACTGACAGAAGATGCATGTAGTTGGTTATGGGGGTGAAAGGGAACAGTATTCTTCAAATTGATGATTCATTGTGATGAATAAAAACCACCTCTAAGCTAGATAGCAAAGCTTCCATATTCTATAAATACCTACACTTTTTGGGCTATGTGACAACATGCATTTTCTCCGGGGAGGCTGGCAAGCAGCAAACCTCCACTTGACATTTTAAAAGTCCGTCCCCCCCTCTCTGGGCAGAGAATTGGCTGGGAAGGAGGAAGTCCATCAATGGCTTTCCAGGCTCACCTCTTAAGAAATACTAATAGGTTTACACACACACACACACCGTTTTGTTTTAAACTTCCAAAAAAAACCCAGATGTTTCCAAAGCAAAAAACCCTACCCAATTGAGCAGTCTCTTGTGTGTAAAGGGGAAACAGTGCTAGTCAATTACTCTTTCCTCTGCTGATGAGGGAAGGAAATCAGGTGGACTCTCTGCCTTTTAAGAAAAATTAAGCACAATGTGTGTGTATATTTTTATATCCTTCACCTTATTTTTAAAAAATTCTTAAAACAGTTGCAAAAGTCCCTCAGGGTTTGGGGAGGCTTCTCAGTGAAGCCACCAGTGCCTGCTAATAGACACTCCCTTCCATTGTTTTCCCCCCCCTGCTTTAAACTAAATCATATTATGACATGTTGAGAAGGGTTTCCAGAGCACACCAAATCTGCAACAGACAAGGGTAGGTTTTCTATCCATGTTGAGTCATGAAACTGGGTTTGTCAGTCAGCTTTCTCTGCCTAATCCACCTCATTGGATTGGAGTGAGAATAAAATGGGCAGGAAGAACGACAACCTATGCGTTCCGCCCTGACCTCCTTGGATGAAGAGGAGGATAAAAATGGGGCAGAAAGAGATGTCTGCATTGAACACAGATTCAGGTGGGTCGCCGTGTTGGCCTGAAGCAACAGAACAAAATTTGAGACCAGTGGCACCTTTAAGACCAACAAAGTTTTATTCTGGGTACAAGCTTTTGTGTGTGCCATTGGTCTCAAACTTTGTTCTGCACTGAACATAGTGATGGAAGTTTTCGTACTCCCTCCACTGCTCTTTAACACTGTTCTGTCTTCACCATTACAGAGTTTCTTCTGTTGACAGGCTATGCTGCCCCCCTTCTTTTTTGCATGGCCCCAGAGATTTAGGTTGCACTCTTGCCAGTTTAATTCAAATAGCTCATGTTTTCCTAACCGAATTGCTATTCCTACCTGCAATAGCAAAACCATCTATGGCACACTTCGGCCCTGTCCACACGAGAGGATTAGGGCCGGGAGTGGGTCGGAATGGGGGCGGAGCAAACGGGCGCGATCCCGCAGCAACATCTGGGGAACGTCATGCTACCATCTCCGATCCGTCCCATCCCGCCCATGAAGTGCACCAAAAAAGAACCACCTACCTGGGTGGTTCTTTCGAATGGGCCGTGGCAAGTGCGGCCGTGGGATCGCCGGTGTGTCCTTGCGCCGGCGCATCCCCGGCTCCTGGCCGAACTGCGCATGTGTGAGCAGCCAGCCTCTCCTTCCCACCGTCGCTTTCTCCCCGGCATCTGATCGTGCTGGGGAGCGACGGCGCCGCGGCTCGGGGGATCCGTGAGATCCCGCCGGCCGTCTCAACTTTGATGCGGCTCAGATTAGCCGCAGTTCGACCGTCCTTTTCCCTGCCATGTGGCAGGGACCTTCCATGAGCTGCTGTAGAACCATTTCATTCCAAAAAGGCATTTTCCACTCCTATTCCAGTTTGCAGTGCTGGAAAAGTTCATTCGTTCTGAAGCAATACTGCTCAGGTTACCTCTCATCAACTGTGCTGACCTTGGGGAGCTAAAATTTAAGCTGATGTGCCAAAGGGTCTGCTGTATTAGCTAACCAGGTTTTGGCACAGACTGAAGAGGAGTCCAGCAAAGTATATAAGGACTGCTTCTTGTGCACATAACTTGGTCAACTATTTCGGGGCTCTGAGAACTTTCAGTTTGCAATTAAACAAAAGACTGATTACATTCACGCGCTCGCAGTTATGAAAAAAAATTGAAAGACACAGGGCTCTTCCTCGTTTATGTCTAAGGCCCACAAATACTTTATTGATCTGGAGTATTGATTCCCCCCCACCTTGTTTTTTCTTATAAACAATGGCACCCAAAATTAGTTTAAAACACACATAAATATTACATGCCATCACTCTTACATTCTCATCAAATGTATGCATTTATTTAGCACACATCCTAAAGGTATCGCTTGAACTACGAACAGCAAAATACAGATTCTTGATCAGCAACACCAGAGGAAAAGAAAAAAAGGAAACCTAGTACATGTAGGCTTTCTTTCTGACAAGTAGCTGAGCTTGTTTATGGCTTCAAGCCCCTAGATCTGGAATAAGGCCATCCAGCCAAGTGGGGGATTTGAATCTGTCTCCCCCACCCAGGCCTCGTCCATCACTTTAACTCAGTGGTTTCCAACCTTGTTGAACATATGGGCACTTTTGGAATTTTGAAGACAGATAGTGGGTGCCAAAACAACATGGCTGCCATTGGGGTGGGTTCCAAGAGAGCCAGTTTGGTGTAGTGGCTAAGTGCGCAGACTCTAATCTGGGAGAACCAGGTTTGATTCCCCACTCCTCCACTTGCACCTGGCCGGATGACCTTGGGCAAGCCATAACTCTGGCACAGCTGTTCTTGAAAAAGAGCAGTTTCTGTCAAGAGCTCTCTCAGCCCCACCTACCTCACAGGGTGTCTGTTGTGGGGAGGGGAAGGGAAAGGAGTTTGTAAGCCGCTCTGAGACACCTTTGGGTAGTGAAGGGCGGGGTATAAATCCAATCTCCTCTTATTATTATTCAATCACAAAACACTGGAAGTTTCTCTAGGAGATTCCAAGCCAAGCATCCTGCTCTAATGGGGGCAGCTGTTTCCACGCAAAGTTGATGAAAACATGAAGCTGCATTCTACTGAATCAGGCCCTTAATACAGCAGGTTCGGTATTATCTACTCAAACTGGCAACAGCTCTTGGTATTATCTCAACAGCTCTCTAGAGTATCAGACAATAGTCTTTCACATCACCTTGATCCATTTAACTGGAGATGCCAGGGATTTAGGGCCTTCTGGATGCAAAGGAGATGCTCTACCGTGGAGCCATGGTGCCTCCAAGGCTCTTCTGAAGCACACCCTGCTGCAGTAAGGTGGAGGAAAGCCCAGGACTGGCTCTTAACTTTGGGGAAGAAGGAAGTGGTTTATAGGAAATACACTGGTAGACACCATGGCACCTATGGGGACCATTTGGGGGGTGACTGCTCTAACCACTACACCACACTGGTGATCTTGCATAGTTAGCAGGTGTACAGAGAGAAAACAAAACAGAAATGGCGTGTGGATTTTGTGAACAGATGTCTAAAGATGATGCACCAAGGTTGTATAAGGCTTCTAGTAAAGGTAAAGGTTCCCTTGCTCGAAAGCCAGTCGAATCCGACTCTAGGGTTGCGGTGCTCATCTCCGTTTTAAAGCCGAAGAGCCAGCGCTGTCCGAAGACATTTCCGTGGTCATGTGGCCGGCATGACTAAACACCAAGGCGCACGGAACGCTGTCACCTTCCCACCGAAGTGGTACCTATTTATCTTCTTGCAATTTCTTGCTTTCGAACTGCTAGGTTGGCAGGAGCTGGAACTAGAGACAGGAGCTCACTCCGTCATGCGGCAACCCGGGTCTCGAACTGCTGAACTACTGACCTTCCACAGCCTGCAGTTCAGCGTCTTAACCACTTGAGCCACCGCAGCTTCTATTTAGTTGTAAACCAATATGTCTTAATAGTTACAGGAACACACCATATGCCTGCTTGTTCAGAAAATAGATTTCAAAAGTAGGAACTCAAATCAGTTATTTTAAATTGGCCTTATCCCCTTATTGCTTAAGTCAATAATTTAAACTGCTTTTCTAATTGAATCAATACACCCTGCCAATAGGGCCAACGTATCTTGTTTGTCTCAGTTGCTCTTGAAACATTTGAATCTTGCTTAAGAATTGGTTTGTTGGAAATGCAAGCTGTGGTTTGTTCAGCCCCTGCAGCATTAGAGCTCTGAGTGGGGTTCAGAGGACTTTCTCTCACTCTGCCCACTTGACTGGCCCTGTCCCAAGCCAGCCCCACACCACAGAGTGGTCCCCCATCCCACACAGGGTGACTTCGCCATATAAAAACAGATGGGTCTCAGACTCCCAATCCTCTATACAAATTTTCTCCTTCATGTGCTATGTGTACATTATTAATTGACAACAGTAGACAAAACATGGCGCTGGAGAATTGTTTCTCACCTGTGCTCAATATCTGAAATATGACAAGGTTCCAGAAATCTGCTCTGGAAGAGCTTAACCTGGTGAGAAATTTGGGAGAGGAAGGAAAGGAGAGGCAGCATTTTTAGAATGATTACTTTATGCAGTCCAATTGGGTTATCTTCTGCGTTTGAAACAAGGTTCTGGAGCTCACTGTGTTATCTCCAGCAGAGTTATACCCTTCTAAACCCACTAATTTTGATGGATTTGGACAGGTCGCAGGGCTCTTTTTGGGCAGGAACGCACAGGAACGGAGTTCCAGCTGGCTCCCAAGTTGGCCATGCCCAGCATGAACTCATTAGCATAACAGGCCACACCCAACAGCAGAAACTCATTAGGATTGGCTACATTAGGGGTGTGTGGCCTAACATGCAAAGGAGTTCCTGCTACAAACAAAGGCCCTGGGTTTTGACAACAAACAAGGTAAGTAGAATAACAAGCAAAAGGTGGGTGTGGCTGGATAACCACACTTCTGGTAACATGGGGGTGCGGCCTAATGTGCTAATGAGCTGTGCTGTCAGGGGTGTGGCCCTATATGCTAATGAGTTCCTGCTGTTGGGTGTGGCCTATTATGCTAATGAGTTCCTTCTGGGCTTTTTCTACAAAAAGAGCCCTGGACAGGTGTAATTCTGCATCATGAGTAGTGGCTCAAATCAAGGGTGGTTCGTCTTTGAGTTCCGCTGGCTCTTCCCCGCGTTTGTACACACTGACTGTCACCCGTCCCGTTTCAGAGCCCCACTTGTTCTTGACGTGGATGCTGAACTTCCCTGTGTCCTCACCGCTGACGTTCTCTATGGTGATCGTGATAACAGTGCCTTTCACTTCCATCTTGTACCGATCTTTAAAGGTGATCACCTTCTCATTCTTATACCACGTGATTTCTGGGTAAGGCTCTCCGGATATGATGCACGTCAAGCAGAGAGTCTGTTTTTAAAACAAATGAGAAAGTGCGGCTTGCAAGCATTCAAGTTTTAAAGAAGAAAAGCTGATGCAGAGGAGAAAAGATCTATCTGCCTTGTGATCTTGTCTTGGTTTTATCTTTCACGGTCATCCCCCCCCCCCCCCCCCCCCCCCAAACAGAAATATTACTTG